TTTAAAAAAAATTAGTCAAGCTTTACGCTGAAACTGGCCAGTTAATTGATTAGATATTTATTACACAGCCCAACAAAATTTAGAGAGTCATAAATTCTAAAAATCTGTATATGACAGTTTTTTCTTGATTGATAGCCACAAAAAAAATCTTTTTTCACCATATAAAAATCAAAAATTTGTGTAAACTTCAAACGTTGTACACAAATAATTGGAATGTTTATCTTGTATAATTTTGTTGGGATGTGTAGGAGAGTTCTTTTGATATGATTTTTACATCAATTAACTGGATTGTTTCAGCGTAGTTTTTAGTTAATTAATAAAAAAATAAAACTAGCCATTTTTGGGGTTAATTTTTGGTTAAAATTTTCGGTAAAAAGTGCACGTAAATTTGATAAAAATATAAGCCGTTTTTTTGTTTTTATTTTGTCTATTATTAACCCAATTTAAGAAAAAGATTGGGCTTTTAGCAAGGCCTTCTGGTTTGTAAATTGTTCAAACAAACGGGTTAACAAGGCTGTTCATATCATAGCAAAGACTGGTATGTTCCGACTGCTCAGAAAATTTTAGAAAAACTTTAAAAATGAAGAAAAAATCCAAAAAAAACTAAGAAAACTTCAAGTTTTATATTTCTGCTGTTCTTCTTCCCCGTTCAATGGCCGAATCAGATTGATGTAATTCTTATACAGTACAATTAATTGGAAAATTGGAATGAAAGAGTCGGAACAAAAAAAAAACTTGCGGCGAAAAGTTTGGTCTTTTTCTTCGAAAGAGGAACCAACAAATATTGAATACTGTACGTCTTTCCAAAAAAAGATATTTCAGTAAGAAATAAAAGTGTGCAAAATTGTATGCTAAAAATCATCTACTAAAAATCAATAGCATATGCGTGATAGAAAAAAATCACAGGAGCTATTAAAACGCTTTTTCTCTGCGATAGAACAATTTTTTTAAGAATTCTAATCACTAACAATTGGGCTTCATTATCATACTACAAAAAGGAGGTTGATGTGTTGGTTTTCAATGATAAAAATTTCTCAAGCCTACAACTGATGCGCCGCAGAAAAACTCCTTAGAACGCTTGTTAGAGAGCGCAGATTATCTATATACTAGCGCCGAAGGCTTTTGTAAAAAGTAAAGGCTTAAAAATTTAGTTAGAAGATATTGAAACCAGATTCAAACTAGAAGTTATTATTGGATAGTGTTTTGATGTTTTATCTTTACAAAATATTTAATACTAACCAATCGTACTCCATCAAACTAACAACCTACTTATTTGTAATTGCTGAAGCTAGTTGTAGTTTCAGCACCAGAGCCATTTGAATTAAATTTAGAATACAGTTACTCTCATTTTGGAAACTAACTCCTATAAACCGGTGTGAACTAGATCTATTGAGACTAAAATATATAAGAGTAAGATTAAGATTGGTATTAGACTAAGAAGTTGCACGAATCTATCCGGCCGAAAATAAGATAGCACGACGAGCAGACGGTGTACCTTATCTGAAATCACTCTATGAGTCATTCAAATGAAATATAAACTCATCTGGTGCGACCAAAAGTTTCGAATAAGACCTTAACTATCTTAGATTAGAAACATTAACCAGAACATTAGATTAATATTATACAAAAACAACATTTAAAAAAATGTTATATGACAAAAATTTAGAAGAAATGTCTCTACGACTCAATAGATCAGAGCAAATTTTCCGAACAATACGAGGGTTACCCAGAAGACAGAGACGACGTACGACTAGGAAGAAATATACCAATCGATTTCATGATTGTACGACAACACCAGATCAATAATTTATATTTAGAATACTTCCAGCAGTAAGTTTAAATTTTCATTTACTGACATAAATTTTGGAGAAACATCTTCAATAAACTTTCATGTCGCTAAAACTAATAATCATACAATAACAACCTATAAAAACAACACTAGTTGTTCTCCTTGAAAAATCGGTTTTAAACTAAAAACATCTTGAAAAAAAATATTTTTTGAATATAAAAGTACAAAAATTAGTTAGAATAAAGCATAATTTGTTAGTATATATAAATCATTCCTTCATCCCAGTTTCATCACCTAAATTATAACAGCAAATCTCAAAAATTAACAAACATCGAAACTAAAAACTTAAGCTTTTTAACTTAACCTTCTATCGAAAAACTATCACGGCTTATCCTTGTTTTCACTTAAACTAATTTCAGTTAAAATAGCAGATCATCAAGGCTTCCCTTGGATCTTTAAGTTAATTTAAACTAAATCTAACTTTCTGATCATCAAGGCTTATCCTTGGATCAAATAGAACAATTGTGTTCTCCCCCTCCATATTAATTAGTGTCTAATGACTTCAAACGTCGATTCACTACCCAACCCTTATTAAAGACCCAGAATTAACAGAAACTTTTCAAATAGCTAACAATACTAATTAGGATAAACAATGAAAAACTTCGGTTACTCATCCTTCACTTGATTTCCTTACTCTCATATGAACCAGGCTAAAACACTTAAACTTAGTAAGTCATAAAATAGTATCTAACGAACTACTTGCGTTCTAATTATACCTGAACCTTGTGGATCGATTTACTATTCTCCAACCCTTGATCACAAATCACAACCCCTAAGTAGGATTAGGTAAGACTATCTTAACTTAGAATTTTTCACGAGAAAGTATAAATCATTCTCACTAATCGATATATGCTTTTCTCTCCAACCCAATAAATACGCCCCAAATTAAGCAAACCACAAAAAAATCGTAAGAACTAACCAGTTTTAACACATTTATAACTTTCCTTTAACCCGATTGGAAAGGAATTAATTAATAATCAAAACTAACCAACACAGCTTACTAAACACCAAAAAACCACAACTCAACAACATGACTAAGAAAAGAAAACCCACAGTACCCAAACCGGATTAAAACCAGCTTAAAACTGGATAAATTGTTTTTTTGAAGACAACTTTCAAGTCTGAACACATAAGAACAAAACACAAAAAAGTCGTGAGATAATTCCAAACAAACAATTTGATTTTGAAGAAAAGGACACAACCAAGACAAAAAAGGAAAAAAACCAGAAATAAAAAAGGCACGAAAACTTGAACGCAAAAAGGACTCTCCAAAAAAGAGAGCATGAACTTATACTCCACTCCTGGCCTAACCCACCAGAGAGGACGTCCTGAGCTTACTCTATCCACACTTTGTGACCCACGCTCTATTTTTGACGAGAGTTACTCAAGGGTGAGTAGATCTTAAAACTAACCGAACTAAACAAGAACGCTTTTGTGATAAAAATTAATACACGATCATAACTAAAAACAAAATTAACAAAGTTTTCTAAATGTAAATACTACAATGCAGTATATAGATTACATACAGCCCAAAGACGAGCAGCAAGGAACTTGACAATTCAATCACACTCCAACTACGGAATGGCAAAACACACCCGACATGCTGCCTACAGTCACTACAGTCAAAGGATTTAAAGTACGACTCGGCATCGCATTAAAGGAAACCCATTAAACAGAAGAATGGCCGTCTCGGTGTTCAAGTATACGTACAGATCCAAGTTACCAGGCACTTCATTCAAAGTCAAACTACATGCCACATCCGAACGAAATTGGAGCATTGCTATTCTCAAATAAACCAAATCAACACTCATCATAACCGATCAGAAATCATGATACGATCTCCCGAAAAGATCGTGATAACAATCTTTTTTCCTAATCCGAAAAAAGAATATGCTCGCAACTTTTAAAGAAAGACACCATCATCCATCCTCCACTGCAGTAGAACACTGAAGAACTAAAACTCTGTAAACCCCGGATGGGTAGAACCAGATCTAAACTAGAATTTAATAGTGGATATTACTCTGATATTTTATCTCTATAAAATATTGAATACTAACCAATCATACTCCATCAAACTAACAACCCACTTATTTATAAGTGCTGAAACTACTTGTAGTTTCAGCACCAGAGCTATTTGAATTAAATTTAGAATACAGTTGTTCTCATTCTGGAAACTAACTCGCATAAACCGGTGTACACTAGAACTATTGAGACTAGGAGATACAAGAGTAAGATTAGGATTGGTATTAGACTAAGAAGTTGCACGAATCTATCCGGCCGAAAATAAGACAGCGTGACGAGCAGATGGTGTACCTTATCTGAAATTACTCTATGAGTTTACCAAATAAAATATCAACTCAATATTGTAACCAAAAATAAAGACGGTATCCCTTACCCCTTTTTGGACTTTACGGATAAGGAAACATCATCCACATTTTCCCCAAAAAACTCGGTCGGGCCAGTTGCACAACTGGCACGATCGAGCCTTGGGGTAAAGCTTACATGTTTTCTTATCCTTTTTCTCAGACGGAAAAGCTCTTTGTAGAAAATGTTGGTCTCGAAAGTTTAAGGTCTGTCTTTCGCCAACTTGAATTGCGAGTGTCTTCCTAGCTCGCTTCATGTTTCGACTATCAAAGTCGAGCACATGCCAGTGTTCGACCGAAAAAGAATAGTCGAGACAAGTTTGGGTCAAGCACAAATTCGAAACACACCTTGAGCACAGTCGAGCACGGTCGGAACAGACCCCGAGCACGGTCGAAACAGACTTTTTTCAAATATCAACACACTTTTTAACATTTTTGACTCAAATTGCAAACCAGTATTGCAGAAGATGGAAAAAAAGTTCAACTCTACAAAGCATTTATTTAGCAAATACTCTTTCAATCTGCTAAGAAAGCATCATAAGATGTTAGCCAAAAATCGAAGTATATCTTGCCTTGGTCGAGCACGGTCGAGCTCATTTTTTTTCAGGTCGAGTTCGGTCGAAGCATATTTTGCTTGGGTCGAGCAAGGTTGAGCTCATTTTTTTTGGTCGAGCACGATCTAGACATATCTAGTCTTGCTTGGGTCGACCTTGGTTGTCTAAGTCAGCAGACCTGAACGGGGTCACATTTTGTCGATTTATCTATTCATGTAATGATTGTAATTTCAGTTGTGCCACGAGGAGGCCACGTGTGAGGCGGATGAGCGGAGGACCAATGAGTTCTTTTGTGGCTGTGAAGAACACCTGTTCGGCAATGGAATCGACCACTGCAGCCGAAGTTCGTATCCCAAAAAAATACCATTAGTTTCAGCCATAATTCGAGCAATTACCTAAAAGTAAAACACGTACTATTGTACATTAAAAAATAGTTGAACTATGAAACAATGAAGAAAACAACAAAAACGCACATACAAGTTTAAAAAACGAAAAAAAATTGACGAATAATTGTTACTGGTAACAGTTTTCTACATATCGCTTAAATTTAACTTTGAACCGACTTGAAATGTTGTTCGGGAACACCTGCTTTGTTTCAAACGGCAAAAGGCATCCAAGCAGATTTTTCATTTGCTACACAGATTTTGATTTGAATGAAATGACATTAACAGATGGAAGTTTTGCATTAGTTTATTATTGCAAGGACTTCGAACTCGCTTAACAGAGAAACCAACGCGAGAAACAACTGGGTCAAAAACTTGGATCGATATTTTTTTCACAAATTTGAAATGCTCAACTTATTTGTAAAAAAAAGAATGTCAGACCACCAAGGAGTTGAACTAATTACAAACTTTTTGCTGTCCAAAAAAAATAGAAAAAAACCGGTCATAATCGGAACAAATTGGAAATGCAACACTAGATAAAAATTGTTTCACTGGAAAATAGAGCTAATTAAACAAAACTAGGAATGGGTGAATAATACTGTAAAAAATTATAGCAACCAAAAAAGGCTCTTCTGCTAGAGTAACTAGCTAATAAAAACAGATGCATGACAAAGGTACGTAGAAAACCTAAACAAAGTTACGGCGATAGTGAAAACCCATTGCCATGTCAAAAAATACCTTGGAATATTTTTAGCAACTAGCCAAAAATCTAATCGGATGAAGTCGCTTTTCTGATTTTGAAATAACACTATATTCGTTGAATGACTACTTGATGACTGTAGATCTTTCTCTCGCAAAAAACATGAAAACTGCTTTCGTAAATAACCATATCAAAAATATAGTATCATTGAATCAATTCGGCTGAGAAGTAAAAGGTCAACCATACATGCAAAATTAAATGGATTAGGTGCTGTAGAAAGTGTTAGTGATAGCCTTACACACAACGAGGTTGTAGCATGTACTTTTGCGGATCTTTCAAAATCATTTGAGGTTTGAGATATCACGGTTTGAGATATCCCGAAAATGTTGAAGTCCTTCCTCACAAAAAATATCAAAAGCAAAAATATTCAAATCAGAGAAATTAATTTGCGGGTTCTACGGGGATCAGTTTTGCATACTGTTTTTCCATGCAGTCGCGTGACAATTTTTGCAGACAAAACATACAATTTTACGCCTGCTTCTCACACTTGCTTAAAATTGAAACAAGATTAGCAGCAAATGACAGCACGGATAGAAAAAAATTAACCAACTAAATAATTTTCATAACAACAAGAACCGATTCGAGGAGAGATGGGTTTTGTTTATAGGTAGGAAAAAAGAGGGAATTTAAGTTGGTAAACCGACTTGTAAACTCTAACAAGAGAGTCCGTTTTAGCCGATACCTCGTTGATTCCCATGAGCTCGGACAGGAGTAGTTTGGGCTGCTACTCACTTGAAAGAGAGAAACTCGTTTCCATCTTCAGAGGAAGATCAGCTGCCGACTACATCAAAGAAAGAATGGCTCCCCAAACCTGCACAGACACTTGTCTCGACCAGGGCTTCAACTACATGTTCATCACTGAAGGTTATTTTGAACAAGTTTTCAGCACCAAAGTCCCAAAGTTACTTGACTGGCATCATTTAGGGGCTTTTTTTATTGCAGACTTCTGCTTCGAAGTAGGTTTGAATCTGTTCTTATAACTAACACGCCACAAACTTCACTAAACGGTTTTCTGGAGGAATCATGAAAAAAAAAGAAATACTTCTGATTTTTTTGTAGATTGAAGTTCGCTTCCCAAGTAAGCAACAAAATTTTAATTGAGTTGTCTGAAGCGCAAATCTAAATGCTGGAGTCCTTTGAATACCATTGATTATCATTAATACAATCACATTGAGCAGGCAAAAATCAATGATTTCGATTCTGATTTTTTGCTCATTATATTATTTTGAATCATTTTCAATCATATTTCTTTCTGTTCCAGGACATATATGTTTGTGTGGTTATGGGGACGAGATCACTTCCATGGCAAGAGTGAATGAGAGCTTATGCGATGCACCGTAGGTTTCTTTATTGTATATAAGCGATTTGAAGAGCTTATACTGAACAAATTGTTGTTAGGAATGACTGGTTGGTGGTTGCAGGAAGTTAAAGCGAAATTAAAGTTTGTGATTCAAAGCTTAATCGGTTTTTATCATTGAGGCTTGCTAACAATTCGATTCCCTAGGTGATAATCGCGACGTTGAATATTCGCCGATTCAAACAAATTTGAAGTAATCAATATAAGAATAGCAGGTGGTCTAAATTAACTTTAATGATGGGAGTGTTTTGGGAAAACCCCAGCCTAGATAAATTACACAGATGCAAATCAGAGCATCAGTTGAGATTGAAAAGCATATAACACTATTCCGAAACAGAAAATTACATGTCAAGAGCTGCTACATTCATGAAATAGATTTTATGCAAAAATCATGGAAATAGGCCTAATAAAATAATAACTTTTAATTGAAATTTAAACTGAGATGGGTTTCCAAAAGCAGCAATACAATGCCAAAAAACTGAAATACTCATCCCCACCAAATTCAAATAAGTCAAAGAAATCACCTGTTTGGAAATTCAAAGAAAAAACTTGAACTTGAATTTTAAATGGCCAGTACATGAAAATGAGCTTAAGTTTGGATAAGAGAAAAGAACACATTACCAATCAAAAACGAACAAAAAAGTGACCAATTTCAAGTTTTTGGATGCAAAACTGAGAAATTGATAGCAGAGACTTTTAAAACTTTTAAAACAAAAATCAAACTTTTTCTAATGAAAAGAAACTTTTTTGAACAAACAATTAATAGTTGATGCAATTGTGGAAGTTCTTGAATTAATTGAAAATTTTTGGTCTTACTAGAAAGTGGGTTCTGCAGATTTTTCGATTCATCAAAAACTTTGGTTACTATGAATGAGGATACTGTTTTTTTTAAAAAGACCCAATGTACGGATTGAAAGATGTGTATTTTTACATCTTTTCAAGAGAACAGTTAGCTATATGTGATGTTTCAGAAAAAGTTTTTGACCTTGATTTAAACAATATAAAAACTTGAATTTCAGTAAAATAACAATATTTCAGAAAAAATTGACCCTGATTTAAACAATATATGAACTTAAACTTCAGTAAAAAAATTTGAGTTTGTTTTTACTAAAATTATAAATTTATAATGAATTGGTTCTGCAATGCGCTCGATTTGAGCACGAGTGAAAATCGGGCTGAAACTGTCAACAGATTCAAAGAACAAACTCTGGATCTAAAGAACAGTGAAAGACCCACCAAGCTCTCAGCAGCTTGAACTGACAGAAGTTACAAGAAGTGCAAAAAGTGATGACCTAACTGTTTTTGTTAGATATATTAGACCCCCCCCCCCCCCACTGATAGAGCAAGTGAACATCCTCCACCGCAGCGTTTTGTTTGGATTAAATTTGGATGTAAGCTCTGCATGTAGAACGCTCTGTTTTGATTGCTAAAAATATCCAACTCAGAATCAAGTTAATATCCTCCTCTTTAAACGAATTCGGAGCTGAATGGTAATGCAGTTGTAACCCGCAATTTTTAATACTTTTGATTACTTTCCACTGATTTATTACATTTTCTGTTTATTTTGACTTCGATATTGTGAGAAAGGCATTTAGCCAATAGGAACGCTTAGCGATTTTGATTGGTTGACACTTTTCAAGCATTCGGTCCTTCTAGCATGAGAACCCTCCCCAAAGCAAATCACTCCAATTTCGCGCCAAAATGTCTGCAACTGCAAACTAAATAATTACAGACAAACTGAGGCAAATTTTCTTGCTCAAAACTTTAAATTGTTTTCACTTGAGATTGTAATTGATTGCTGTTTAATTTCTGATTGCCGCGCTGAACATGCTCATCTTTGTCCAACAACTATAACTAAGTTGAGCAAAATTACCAAATGTCCAGCTATTCACAACTATCGCGCGGTCGACGATTACATAAAACTCTGCGGAAATTTGCCAAAATTCTTGTGGTTCTTGAATTCTTTTCAAACAAGTCTAACGAATCTTACAAAATGTTATTAAGTTTTCCCGCTGTGAACTGCAAGAAAATTGGGAATTTTTTTTCACCAATTGTTTTGACTGATTACGAAAAAAGATTTACCGCAACAGTTCTGGATTTTTTTTCCTGCAGCTCAGCATTTGGGCTGTCAATTCCTTTACTGTCAAGCTGTTTTCAAAAAATTTCATCTTGCAACTGAGTATCGACAAAACAAAAGTTCGCGAAATAAATCAACGGTTGCTTACATTGCATTTTTTGCCTATCGGATTGGTCAGAACAAACTACACGCGAATCAAGTAAGATCGGAAAAATCTTATTTGACCGAAATTTACGACGGAATTTCAAAAAATTTTGAGTATTTCGAAAAAACTTTACTCAATGGAAAATATCCATGAAAAATGTGGAATTAGTAGGAAAGACCAGCTTCACTCGTCACTACAAACAGTTGTGAAAATTGGCACAATATCTGGAACAAAAAATTGGGGCAATTCCATCCAAACTTTTGAGTTTTGATCCAAAAACTGAAGCGAGAAGAAAAAAAGTCGAAACTTGCATCGAAACTTGCCTCGAAATTTTTTCACAATGGAGATAATCCATGGAAAGCTAAGAAAAAAGACAAAAGAAAAAGTGAGCAAATAGCGGCATTCAAGTGATCTTATGCATTGAGAATTCGAAACGTTGAAAACCATTGGAAAACTTTGTGTAATATTATAAACGATTTTTCAAGCTTTCCGAAGTGTTTTTTATTTTTCGGCACTGTTTAACTACAAAAAATTCTCGGCACTGTTGAAAACTTTTTTTTCAGTTTTGGCACTGTTCAACTATTTTTTCCGCACTGTTGTACTTTGGCACTGTTGTACTGGATCGAATAAATTTGATTTAGCAAACTGTTGCTCTTTCTTTATTCTTACATCGCAACATTACCAGTATAAACTAGATCTATTGACACTAGGAACCATAAAAGTATGATAAGGATTGGTATTAGACTAAGAAGTTGCACGAAACTATCCGACCGAAATTACTCTATGAGAAAGCCACCCGAACTTGAAATCAAAATGCACCTTGAGTAATGTTTTATTGTTTTAGAAGGCTGCGAAGCTTTTGACAATCAGGTTTTCGTTTCGACCGTTTTCACAACTGTGATTTTGTCAGGCCAAAATGGCCACCTTAAATACACGTCTTAGAATGTCAGGGGACATTTCATAATAAATTCTTTTCATTCATTGCTCAAATTCCAAATTTTTTCAAAAAAAGTATGCTCAGAGTCGGGAAAAGCTGCACTTTTTTTGTTTTTCAGACTAATTTACACTATGGAGCAGATTAGATGGGGTTGGAGCACAAAGCAATATGAACAGATTGTGCTTTTGATATTTACTCTTGTTCAAGACATATTTTGTTTAAAAAAATGTATTTTTTAATATGTTTTTTTCTTGGCTACCGGAAATAATCATACGACAAAGAAAAATCTGTCTGTTGTGTTTTTTTTTCATTTCAATCAAAACTTCATTTCATGGTTACTGTGGTCGGAACATTCTGTGCCAACTGCACAGCCAACCGAGTGCCTTTTTAAATAATTAAATAGTTTTTTTCTTTATGAACATCATTACTTGTCTTATTTGGTTTTAGATGCCAAGGGGACAGCAGTGAAATTTGTGGAGGGATGGGTGGGGACGATGTGATGGTAGATTGCACAGTGTGTCACTCAATCATGTACATGTCAGTCTACTCTGCACAAACATCTCGGGTCGAATATCTCGCCATAGGTGAACTTCCAAACTATTTATAAATTTCACGCACATTTTCTCCGGCAAAGGTTTTGACGATTTCCAGGGAAAGGTCGGACGATTCGGAGAGTTTCCGCACGTTCAAAATAGTTTTATGGCAATAGTTGAGCGCGCGCCTTTGTCGGAATTTTGAGGTTGAAAATTAATTAGGTTTAGAACTTTCAATTGACATTCATACAAATTTGTAGCTTCAACTTCGAACGACCTAAGCTCAACTTTTAGAACCTCCGAATATCTTGAATCTATCCTCAAACATTCTTGTTGACTTCGGCTCTTTGTGAATCGTGGAAGCAATGCATACAATTCACGATTCACAAAAAGCGATTCGTCCAACCAATGCATGCAATTAACCAAGCAATGTATTTAATTCGAACCAGGGTTATCACAGCGCGGTTCACTGTTAAGAGCCGAACAGTTGGTGCTTTCGCTCGGTCATAAAGGGTCTTAAAATCATATTTCTCTTTAGACATAATCGCAGACCTGGAATCCTACGGCGGATCCTCCTTCCTCTACTCGGATTCTGTCTTCAACGCCCATGCTGTCACCCGATTGTCGGTGAGTGACATGCATGGCCAGGAATACTGCCACTTGTACATCCAGGGTGTCAACTACTCCACCCGGCGCAAGTGTCACTTCGATGACATAACTCTCTCGGTGCCTGGATCCTTCCTCATTCAGATGACAGTGCTTGGCGGTCAGGTAGGCTGGTAGATTTACCCGGGAAATCTTATTACAATTTGTTGAAAACGTTTTTTGTATCTTTCTGTTTCTTGGTTTTTAGCACAAGTCTACAAGTGTTGGAATAGCAGTGAAAGAGAGACACTTCACCACAGGAACTTACCTTAACTGCCCCCCTAACCCATTCCGGTGAGGAGAAAAAGGCTGAAATCACTGTTTGAGAAACAGTCCACAACACTTAAGCAAAACTCTTTACTTCATTCACAAATATGAGCAAAAATTAGTATTCGAATTCGGTTTTGTAAAATTATCCATAGAGGTGAGGTGATTATTATCGAGTCTAACTTATTTCCGAGTTAGCCTATTTCACTGACAAAACTTTCAAAAAATCAGGTGAGATCTTAATTACAGGATCATCTAAGCATTTCAACAAAATGAAAGGAATTACCCAATATGGGACCATAACATACGAGCTGTTGAGAACCGATGATGCGTCGTTTTTTAAATGGTTTTAGTAAACAGTGTCCCAGGTGTACTCAATTTTTCGATAGATCGGGCGAGTATGCAGTGTTGGCTTCTGACGGCGACCCTTGCATAGTGGAGGTGTTGACAGGCGTGGATGTGGTGCTACGGGTGAACTTCGGAGACACCCCCACCGACGAGTTCATCCCCATTGAAGACCCCGTCCAACACACCCTCTCCCTCCCCATACCCGCCCACGTTCCATTCGACACGCCCACCTCACATTTCGTAAGTGATGAAAATTATGTTGCAAGTCTGGTATATTGTTAACTATTCACCCTTATCGCAAAAAGGGGGAATTTGAAAACTTACAAAATTGTTTATGTTTAATTGTTGAACTAGTTCGTTGGGAGGAAATTCTTTACTATGTACCATATGAAGGGGGCAAGCCAAAGAGATCCCTCGTCTGAAATGCCTTTCTGATTAGATTGTCAATTAGAGTGGCTCTGACGTGAGATAAATTCAGCAACACAAAACGCTTAAAATGACAATTTTCTGCGCGCAGGAAACTTTTGAAGCACAAAAATGATATGAAATAGGCAACGCCTTCAGCGTTTTGATCATATTGACCACCATCAAATTATGTCGAACTTAATTTAAAAACGACCAATTACGGATCAATTCTTTCTTTTTTCCAGTATTCCTATACCTTCAACGGATTGTACTACGTACCGAAACAGCAGCTGGTTTTCTTCCCCCACAAGAAGGTCACCACTGGGGGAGTGCTTCGATCCATTCAGACCTTCCTGAAACTGGAGGATTTTTCCAGACAGAATGGACTCGCCACAACTGTCATACTAGGAGTATGAATGATTTTTAAATCTATGATATTTCGGATCGGCAAAATTTCCATACATATTTTGTCTTTTGGATCTCAAAAATCTGGAAATTTTTAAAATTGCAGTAATTTCAAGGACGAACATGATTTCGCTAAAACTTTTTGCAGCCTTTTTGACCCAATCAGGGTCATTTTTTGAGCCTTTTCCGCCCAAGATTAGAACTAATTGCGCCAATGTTGCTTGCGCACTGTTAAAAGCCTTAAGTAAGTTTTATTTGTGCAAACTCCCCTCATGTTTGGTACACGTCGAAGCTAATTTCTATTTAGAAAAAAATTAATGTGAACGGATGGCAAGAGCTGAATTGCAGTCAGAAATCTTAAATAGATTTAAGTCTCGATCCGAAAAATTGACAAAACCTGAATGTTCTCAATGCCCCTTAACTTATCCCGGAAATGTTTTGGATATTTTAAAGCTTAAAATTTTACGGTTTTGAAAAATCTGATTATTTAATTTTCCGCTGCCAAAACTACCATAAAAAGTGAAACTTTTTCCATGCGACCTAAAATAATCCTCTTTTTCTAATTATAATTTGGAAAGAGTTTAATTTTTATCTGACTTGGCATCTAGCAATACGTAGATATATATGTGATTCAATGCCGTTCAACGTGTTGGTTTTCTCATTTGAGAAAACTTTTGGTATCTGTGTTCAGGGCTAAACACAAATATAGAGCGAAGCTCAAAAAAGTTACAAGTTGAAAATGCTTGTCATACAATTTCCTAGTAAGGAAAAAAGCCTATCATACAATTCCATTGCATGGAAAAAAATGCTTA